GAGGCTGGTATAGCAGCTGTGTTGGCAGATGCCCCACCAAGAGCAGACAGGTTCGTTCAGTGGACCCAGTGCCTTGTCTGTATGGATCAGTAAAGCATTCTGAAAGCAAAGGAAAAAGAAGGCTCCTTTGAGCAGTAATATTTTATGGAAGATAACAAGAGCTATTTATTTGCGGGGTGTTATTTTGTTATTGGTACCTGGTGTAGGCATCTGTCTAGGACAAGGAATTATTTTGGGCTTCGTTAGCTTTTAGAGACATGGTTTTGGGCTGGGGATTTAGCTCAGTGGTTCCGCTGCCTGCCTCGCAAGTGCAAGGTGGAGAGTTTGATCCCGGTACCAAAAAAAAAAGTAGCACTAGAGACCTGGTTTTCCCGAAGGTAAAAACAGAATCTGTGTATATTTTGTGGTTAAAGCACCCTTTTTTCTTGATTAACTGAAGATTTTGATTTCCAGAGCCAGTGTTTTGGGTTCCCTTTGATGAACTCCCTTCCCTCCACAGCCACAGCTTCTCTTTTTCATTTGTTTCTCTTCCGAAACTGCTTTTCAATGAAAATGCATGACTAAATTGTTTAAGTAGAATTCCTGGCTCTCTGTGTTATGTATTCCACTTTTTTGGCAAGATATTCGAGTGGTTTTCTTGCTATTGGCAGAATTTATAGTAGAAAATTAGTAAATAATTCATTTTGGTTTTGCTTTTGCTTAAAAAAAAAAAAGAGAGAACCCAGCAGGGCGGAGATACTCCACTGATTATTTCAGTTCTGAAAATTTAGCAGAGATAAACAACATGATTTGCTTGAATGTAATTCATTGTTGAGGCAGTGTTAAAAAGAAGTTAAGTACTCTAGTTGTTGATCACAGCTAACTCAGCTGGCCTTCTTTTGGAGTGACTCCAAATGGCTTCTTTGTGCTTAGCCTTGCAGAAAAACTCCAGTGCTATGTCGGTATTTCAGATAGTACTTAACGACTGTATTAACAGCATGATCTGAATGCATACGTGCACTGGAAGATAGGAAACATCTCTGAGCATCTAAAGATAACACAAATGTATTAAAAGGAAATATTGGGCAAGGTAATAGTCTTGAACTTCCTGGTGTTATAGGGAAGGGAAGTTGCTTTTTAGTTCTCTGATTTACTTTTACTTTTTGAACCTATTTGGGTTACAGTCTTTGTAAAAAGTCACAGTGATTTTTCCTTTAGAAACATCTAAACACATTGCAATTAACATTTAAAATATTATTCTTTATTTTTTTTGTGTAAGTACTGTCAGGTAAAAGGGCCAAAAACCAAGACCAGACCAGGCCACAACAAGCCTTTATTAGGGGACTAGATCTGCCGGGCTGTCTCTGGTGACTTCACTAGATGGTAGGAGGTGAGCGAGTATTAGGTTACTCTCTAGGTGGGAACAGGGGCATGCTGGGAAGAAGGGTTTGTTCTTTGGTGGGAGCAACCATCTTGGCATAATGTCACACAGGGGAGGGGGCAAAGCACCATAGGAAGAGGGCACCTACTATACATAATAGCTGCTGAGGTAGTGGGAGACCTATCAAGTACAACGTTGCAAGTCTAGGAAACATAGGAAACTCAGGAGAGAACTTGTAGGGCAAAGCCAAAATGTGAAATTAAAATTAAGAAATTCACACTAGCATGGTCAAGCTACAATTAGAAATAAGCTAAGAAGGGGCTAGGGATTTAGCTCAGTGGTTCTGGTGCCTGCCTCGCAAGCACAAGGTCCCGAGTTCGATCCCCAGTACCAAAAAAAAAGAAAAGTAAAAGAAATAAGCTAAGAAAATAGTATTTTTCCAATTCCACTGACTTCCCCCCTTAAAGTTTTACTATGAAAAATATGAAATGTGCATACGAGTAGAAGTAGCAAAAAGAACTCCCCCACACTTACCAGTGTCAAAAATCATAAGCCACAGCCCTGTTCCATCCACTCTCTTCTCCCTTACCTCAATCATTTTGAAGCAAATCTCAAGCTTTTGGATGAAATCAAGATATAAACTCATTTCATGTATTTAGATTTTATGATATGTTTCCAAAAGACAGAAACTGTTAGAAATTATTACCAAAATACCATTATCATACTTTAAAAAAATTAATGATAATTCTCTGTGTCCAGTTGTGTTGTCAGTCAGCATTTAGGGATTTTTCCAGTTGTGTATAAATGATTAGTTTTGATAATAGTGTGAGTGAATAGGATCCAAACACAAGTTGCAGTTGTTTGATGTCTCTTAAGTCATCTTTAGCTTATAGATGCCCCCTACCCTATTATAATATGCTTGTTCAGGAAACTAGATCACTTGTTCTGGTGGTTCCAACATCCTGGTGTTTGTACATCGTATCCCTGCAGTGTCATGTGATGCTTTCTCTTGTTGGCTGTATTGTTGTAGACATGCAGTTAGTTTTAGGTCTTGATCGAATTCAGAATTTTGGTTTTATCTGTGGGGGACTGCAGTACTGGGCTTTAAACCTGGGACCTCATGAGTGTTAGGCAAGCACTCTCCCACTAAACCACATCCTTACTCATTTTTATTTTTTATTTTGAGACAGGGTCTCACTAGTTGCTTGGACTGGCCTAAGACATGTGATCCTCCTGACTCAGCCTCCAGAATAGCTGGGTTTTTAGTCATGTGTCATCGCTTCTGGTTTTTATTTTTATAAGACTACTACATAGGTGTGTGTATTTCCTCCACAGTACAGTAGGTTCTTATTTCCTTTTTTATGATGTTAAAATTAATTATTGGTTCTGGGCATCTGATTTAGTCAGACCCAAATATTAGAAAGTACATAATCAGCTCTTTCCCTGATAATTTTAGCACCTATTGATGATCACTGCCTACATCTATTATTTCAAGAAGTAGATTTTTTAAAAGCAATTTTTAAGAGTCAAGGTGTGGCTGAGTTGACGCAGGTGTCTATTTTTCCTGTAAAGCCTTCCCACAGAGTTCTCTCGGAGCTGTCAGCCTGGAATGCAAGCTCTGTCCGGCAGCTTTCTCGTATTAGTGCACAAGTCCCTCTAGTGTTTGCTGCAGGAAGATGGGTGTTCTGTGGTTCCGAAGGACAGTTTTAGCTCAGGAATTTAAAGATGTGTGTGCTTCTACAGCTGTTACTGTGGCTGTCCAGGGCTCAATGAAGCGTGACAAGTGTAGTCGGAGCCTACCAGAGTGACACCATAGCTTCCTATGGAGTAGGCAGTCTTCTGAGACAGTTGCACAGGCCCAGACTAAAGAAGGAAGAGTATACTTGTTTCTGTTACAAGATAAAGCTCGGCCTGCATCAAGATTTCAGCATATATGATACTATTTTAGTCTTTACCATTTTATTAAAATTTACAAGAGAAGGAAAAGTGCCAAGAAGGAGCACTGAATTATTCCCACTATTTCACCTGTTTCGTGCGGGGATTTGAGCGTCCAGGCAGAGGTCAGTCTTCAAGGCGATGACCATTGATTCTCTATAGCCAATGGAGGGGAATCAGGAAGGAGAGGAGGTCAGCTCGGGAGGGCTGGGGATGGTAGCTGCATGTGGACAGGAAGTCAAGCTAGATTGACTTATTAACACCAGGTGGCAACTCAGGAACACTCTCACCTAAGCTCTTTGCCAGGAACCCCTGTCGAATGGGGAGAACGTTTCTCTAGGGCCTGTGTGCTTAGTGTCCATCTCAGTCCTCTTTCTACCTCAGGCTCTGCTGTTTTCCCTGTTAGAGGACATGGAATTACTAATTCTTGTTAATGCCATGCACTGTTAGAAACAAACTTGATTAAGCATTAAAAGTGGTGAAAACAGATTTTACTCCATGCAGAGACCCCTGAGCCTGTTGAAGGGAGGCTGGGGAGGCTTGTGAGGCTCCACAGGGGCAGAGTCCTGAGCACTTGCAGAGGGCTGGCCCAGGTCAATGCGGAGAAGCCACTGTGCCTGCGAGCTGGCAGGGACTGAGGATTCTGTCTCCCCGTAGAGATTGGGGATAGACCCTGGCCTTCTCGATGATTACATTTTAAAGGAATGGCTCTGGGTCCTTCAGAAAGATATTTCTGAGTTGTAAGAGATATATATTTACAGTCCTAACCCCTTTTTCATAAATGCTCTAAGGAAGGGCAGTCAGGGTTGTGGTTAGTGTGGACTAGAGCACAGGATAGATTCTTCTGGCAGCATTGGCAGCAGCTATTCTAACAGAGGTGCTGAGATCCTCCAGAGAGATGGCCTTGTGCTCTGGAAGCTGGGGAGAGTTACTGGTTCTCTAGTGTGGAAGTCTGGACAGTGAGCATGAGCTGAGACTTATGGCTCTCAAGGGCTAGAACATTGTTTAATGGACGTGGTGACTGAACAAATTTAAGTAAATTGACTTTCTTCCACACCTAAAGGGATGAATCTACTTCTTGCCTAGTCCCAGCCAGGAAAAAGGATTAACACCTCTCCATTGTCATCCTCCCTGGATCCACCTGGCTCCCCTAGTCTGCTCCCACTTTCCTCCTCTTGAGGGTTAGACCTGCCACTGTGAACAAGGGAGTTTATCTCCCTATCACAGTTGTTTTGATTTTTTGAAAATAACTTCAATATAGTTCCTTGTTTTATAATGATGAAATATTTTCAAATCTCCTACAGGATCGTGGGCACTATTAAGAGAAGACAGTTCCAGTGTTTCTTACCAATGAACTCTTACCCCCAATAGGCTAGCATTTCTGCCATATGCTTTAGTAAAACATTTCCTAAGCAGAATTTATTTCAGGTTGTAATACATTTATTTGCATGGTAACTTTTAATATACATCACAGAAACTGTTTGTTTACCATTGCAAGGCCACAGCCTAACATAGTGGGTAGAAGCTGTTGCATATATTCCCAGATGATCAGTTTAATAAATACATGAGTGAATGGCTTCACATCTTGTCTTGTCTTCTTTGGTAACATTGGCAGAATAGAAATATTATGCAAACATGGTGAATGAATTCTTGCAAAGTGTTGTGGATCTTGAGTTGTATTCAGTGATTCTTCTTCTCTTTGTAGATTCCTTACTTATTCCTACCTCTTGGCCTTCAACGTGTGGCTTCTGCTTGCACCTGTTACCCTGTGCTACGACTGGCAGGTTGGCAGTATTCCTCTGGTGGAGACCATATGGGACACGAGGAACTTAGCCACTGTCTTTCTGGCGGTCGTGATGGCCTTACTGAGCCTGCACTGCCTAGCTGCCCTAAAGGTAATTTTCCTAAAAATCGAATGGATTCTGCATTTGAAGATAAATAATCTACACTCACTAATGTTCTTTTTTCACAGGGTTTCTGGGTCTAAGTTGAATCTGCCTTGCTCGTAAAACCTTGTGTAGTTCACGTTTTCATAATGGATAATATATATTTTAAAGACTTTAGCTGAGTTAACAAACCATGCCCACCTTAATCAGATGATTTCCTTGACTATTATTCCCACTTTGTAGATAGTAGAAGTTGAATCTGAATTTTACAAACAAGTTTTTTCCTCCTGAGGTTGGCTATTTCTTAAACTAATTTTATTTAATGTACTTTATTTGATAAGTGAAATATTGGAAATAATATATTTATAAATGCCTGCAGTATAGTTAAAACTACTTCCACTAATGACTGCCTGAAGTAGTTGAGTGATTCCTTTCTCATACCCACCCCTAAAAGAATAAGACTGGACAAAGTTACTAAATTCAACAGTTTAAAAAATAGCACTGGATTACTTATGAAATAACTGCTGCACAGGCTAAAATGCCCTTTGCCTGAAGGCATCCCTATACTCCTGGAACTGGTGGTAGAAATCGATGGGTTTACTGGCTCAGCATGGTTTGGGAGAAGAGCAGAGTATCTAGAAATGTAAGGAGAGATTTTGTGAGCAAGAAAGCTGTAGAGGGCTGAGATGATATACTGTAACATTCATGGCTGACTACAAAGTAAGAACTGTGCATGGACTCCCTAGGGAGCATAAGGAAAATTAAAAAGCTGGGGGATTCTCTGATTTGTCACAAATTTTAATGAATTCTTCCACCCATACAGAGGTTTGGCAGCAGAGGGTGGAAGCTTCTGTGGCTTGAGTTGTCTCTATATTACCTATGTCCATATCGTTGACTGACCATAAATCCTTGCAGGCTTGAGGGAGATCCTCCCAAGATCCAGGTAAAGAAAAAAAAAGTCTAAGCAAAAATTTCAGCACTTGTCAGAGGAGTAGATTTTCCAGTTTAACTGACAAGTTCATGAGCTATATTAAAAGAGTAAAACCAGCAGTTTTTGAAGAACAAAATTACAGTCACTACGATACATGACATACAATGTCAAGTATTAACCAAAGATTACTAGACATACAAAGAAATAGAGTGTCACCCAAACACAGTTAGGGGTTTAAAAAAAAGCAATAGGAAAAAGAATAGAAGTGAAATTCAAGAGCTAAACCTCTTGTTAATTCTTGCTGTTATTTCTTGTGCAACTGAAATTCTGTTTAGAAAGTCCTTGCCTATACAAATGACTTTAAGCATTTTACCCATTTTATCTTCCAGTAGATTGTGTTTCTGTTTTGATATTTAGATCTTTGATCCATTTTGATTTTAGTTTAGTACATGGTGAGAGATATGGGTCCATCTTCAATCCTTTATATGTCACAAATATGAACTAAATAACAATAATGATGATGCTGAAAATGGGGAAAGAGAATCTAGAGATGGAGGGAGAGAGGCAGGTGAGGAGGAGAAGGGGAATAAAAAGAATCAAGGTATGTTAAGTACATGTATCCACTCTCCAAGATGAATATAAACATCTTATAATGCAAACATGTACTAAAAAAAAGTGCTAAACCTACATTTAGTTGATTTTTTTTTTTTACAAACTTGCCAAGGTAATTTAATGGGGGAAAGAAAAGGGTAATCTTTAAATAAAATGTTTGAAAATGACTGAATATCTCTGAGAAAAAATGTTAATCCTGCCTACTATATACTGAAATGTATTCTGAATTCTGAGTGTATTATAGACCTAGACAAAAGAACTAAATAAAACCAGAAATTTCAATGAAAACAGGAGAAAATCTTTGTGAAAAATCTTTGAGAAAATCTTTGGGTTAAGCAAAGATAGACTGTAGAAAGTAAACACTGTAAAAGAAAAAGTTGAGAAATTAGACACCATCAAAACTAAAAGTTTTGCATATCACATGATAATGTTAACCAAATGAAAAGGCAAGTCACAAATTGTTAGGAAATATTTGTAATACATCTGTCTACAGAGAATTTGTATCTGGGATATTGAAACATGAAACTGAAAATCATTAAAAAGGGGCAAAGAATTCAAATGGAGGGAATTAATATATGTTATTCTGCCATGTTGACTGTTTAAGGTAAAAAGCATGTAAGAAACAGTAAGTACAAAAAGATCTTCATGCTTTCCAATCCAGTATATACATAATTGACTCTAATTGCTTCTTTGGGCTCTTGTGCTACAGAAAACTTGTATTATGCTTTTAAAAAAATCTATATTATGTTAATTATTGGACCCAGGTGGACCCTAAGAGGATGGTCCCTACAAGATATTTCACTAAAGAAGACATACAGAAGTCAATAAATGTATGATAAGATGCTCAGCATCATTATAGCTTTTAGGAATATTCAAATTACAGCCACAGAGAGATACCATTAGAATCCTCAGAAAGACTCACAATACTAAGTGTTAGCTAATATGTAGAAACTAGGACTCTCATACTTTGTGGGAATAAAAAAATGGTTCATTCACTTTAGAAAATGTTGGAAGTTTCTTAAAAAGTTAAATACAAATTTGAGCAATTTTACCCATCAGTATCTATTAAAAAGAAATGAAACCATATGCCCACACAAAAATCTTGTGACTATTTGTAGCTATTTTTTAAATTTTTAAAAAATTTTATTGACTATGAACTTTCAGATTAAATAAGTTCAGTGAATCACAAACAGAATAAACATAAAAACTTACAAAACCAGGAATAGATAATATATGACAATCAATAAATAGAAAAGGCAAGATTTACCAGAATTCAGGATAGCAGCTACCTTTGGTTATGGTTTATATCTAGCTGTCCCATAACCCCTCACACATAGGACCTTTGGAGGGCAATTGCATTATGGGGGCTTATGGCTGACTTGCGCTTGGATGGGATCCAGGCTGGAGAAGTTGGCCCACTGGGGTTGTGGCCTGAAAGGATTTATTTCTTCCCTCTTTCTCTGCTTCCCCACTGCTAGGACTAGAGCCAACTCTCCTCTGTAATGACCCTGGGTCATATCTCCCTGCCTTGGAGCCAGCCCACTATGGACTGAAGCCTCTACAGACTAAACTAAAATAAACCTCTCCTTTAAAAGGTTTGGGTGTTAGGTATTTTCTCCCAGCAATAAGGGAAGTAACTAAGACAGATTTGGGTACCAGGGATTGGGGTCATTGCTGTGACTACCTGACCATGTGGTTCAGAAGCCTTTAGAACTGTTCATGGGAGGAGTTTGCAGATGTCAGCTGGAGAAGCAGTGCTAGAATGCTGTGAGCCAAGCTTGGTGGGAGATTATGTTCCAAGTTCAGAAGGCCAGAATGTTGACTGTAATGCAAATGAAAAAGACCAGGCTCGAGACGTTTCAATTGGAAAGAAGGACTCCATTGGCAGATGGACTCCAGGCTGTGTGTGTTATTCTCTGGCAGGAGAATACATTTGTCTACATTTTGCTCATGCCCTGAGAATTTTGGAAAGTCTAAAGATTAAGGGCAGTGGGCTAATTAGTCTGGTGGAGGAAATATCAAGGCAGTCTAAATGATACAGGGGGAAGAGATGTAACTCCCAAACCTACTAGATATCTGAAACATGAGTTCGTGTTCTCTAAAATCTAAGAATGAATTCTAGGAACAACGGCGGTTAAGAGTAGGAAAAATTTATTGGGAGAAAGAAAGCTTCTGCCTAAGAGGGACAGAAGGGGGACCAGACAATGGGTTGCCCACTCACCCCACTTTTTGAGGATGTTTTAAACAGCAAAGCCATGTGGTGAGGCGGGTACAAAGTGGGACAAAACTATAAGATGCAATGGAAATTTACAAGGTGGGCATGAGGTGGGGCAAAACCATGACCAACCAATAAGATTACAAGTACAGTCACCCGGGTAATATTGATTAAATGGGGATCAAGTAGGGGAGCAAGTCACATAGCAAGCCTACAAGGATTTTCAGTAAGGGTGGGTCAGGGATATTTCCTGGAGAGGCTGGGTTAAGACCTTGGCCCCCCACCCAGGTGACTGATACCTGTTTAGAATATCAATCACTGCTATTCATCCTACATGGGTGTGGTAGTTTCTCCCCTTTTACAATGCTGGCCTTCAGTGAATGTGTCTTCACTGTTCTCCACGTTGGCTCCTTGTGGACTGGCCCTGTCTAACTGCCTACAAGATATCTAACTAACTTACCTATCTGCAATATAATGTTGATCCGATGGCATGGCTAATGTTGGGGGCTTTCATCCAGCTGTATGTTGAGAATCAAGAACAAAAGTCCTCACTGAATGATGTTTTGAGTTTGGCCAGAAAGGAATCTCAGGTAAAGTTGGGGTCTGCCAAAATGGAGCAAAAGAGAGCTTATTTACTAGATTAGCATTAAAAAGAAACCAAGTACTTTATAGCAGTACAATAGAAAAGACAGCTTGAGGGTGGATTGGACAGACCCTTCCAGGCTCTAAATTGCAAAAGTGAGACTTTGCTTTGAGAAGAGAGCCCCAGGGCACCACCACCTAGAAAACTGGCTTCCTAGGCTCCCTTTCACAGTGCTCAGCCCCTGCAGCTGTGATTCAAAGAGCCTTGCTACTGCTGGGGCTGGGAGGCAGACCTTGGCAGCATCTATGTGGTGCTGTTTTTAGGCCCTCGAAGAGTGTAAGAGTTGAGGTCAGGAAAGCTTCCACCCAGATTTCAGAAGAAGGCCTGCGAGGCCAGGCAGTGTCCCCTGAGAGGGCAGTGTGTGAAGCTGTGAGTGTCAAGCCAAAGGTGAGGTGGAGGCTGAAAGATTGGAGAAGGCAGGAGCGTGGATGTCTGAGGAAAACTGCAAGGGAGGAGCAAAGTTGGCCCAAGAGAGAAGCCAGGAGAGCTGCAGCCTCCCACAGTGCCACAGGGGTGGGGCTGCCCAGGCTGTGTAGTTCAGTGCCACCACATTGTGCCCTGGGTGCTGGACATGGAATTAAGGGATTTAATGTTTGCCCTGCTGAGTT